CTAAAATCATCAAATCTTTTCACTGCTCATGTTGTTCATGGGTCTGGCAAATCCTAAGATATTTGAGATGTTGGATGCGTTTACGATTTTGCGCTATGAAGCTTTACACTTGAGTTTACGGCATTTTTAGGGATGTTCAATGGCTCTAATTATTTTTACTTTTATGTTGAAATTGTTTAGTTGAGCTCCAAATTGGGATTGTATAATGTCTTGGTTTGAAAGTTGTGGCGTTCTACTGTTGAAACATATAGGGGAAAGATACAAAAGATGGTAGTTTTCAAAAAACCTTTGTACAAGATCAATATATTATGTATGCAACATGCATTGATTTCCAAAATGGCCTCTTTATTATTCACTTTTACATATATTAATAGCCATTTTAAGGGATAATTTTTGGAAATTTACATACTTTTTGCTTTGACTTTTGAAGGACTTATATTTTTGGATATTCTAAATTGGAAAGATGGGACTGACAATTTGGGACGTGAGGGGTATACGATTCTCCTATATGTTATAAGTATAAATTTGTGCAGTAGGGAAGAGAAAATTGAGTATATAGAACTAAAAGTCTAGTAATGGCATAGAAGATGTGCACTATGAAGAGAATATATACATTTTGATGTTGGTAGCTTGAATGATCTTGCTGTCAAGTGAAAGATGTTATTCTAGGAGGCTAGAAGCCAAGGAAAAATTTCCATATGGAGATGCATTAAAATATTTATATTTCATAATATATTTCTTTTACTTTTATAGAGTAAAATGGTGTTCATAGGTGTTATGGAGCACTTTGTGCATAATATGGGGTTTTTATGTATAGTTTTATGGTTAATTTGAATTACTACATATGCCTGCTAGGTGATTGTCCAACTGTTGGGTATTGTGGAGATTGATGGTATGTACACTGAGCCATGTATCTCGCAGAGGGTACTTTAGTATTTTTTCTCACACTTGTAACCCTAATTGTATATGTTATAGCAGTAGGACAATTTCATTGTATCTTGTAACTTGTTCTTCTACATAGTAAAATAGTAGTTGCGTCTACTATTTTTTTTTTTTTTTGCTTGGGACTACTATTAACACAGCCCAATTACAAGTGAACTACAAATCTTGTGTTCTCGTGTGATTTGCAATTTCACATCCACTAGATTGTGTGTTATGGTTCCATAATTCTTAATACCAAGTATACATGTCAAACACATGTCTCGTACCCTTACTCAAGTAAAACAATCATAGTGACTACCGTGGACATTTCCCAGTTATGGGTAAACTATATAAATCTTATGTTCTTGTGTGATTGATCTTTGGTTCTTTGATTCTGATTTTATTTTTTGCAATTTCACATCCCCTAGATCGTGTGTTAGGGTTTCAAAATTGCTAACACGAACTACGCACATCAAACACATGTTTCACACCCTTATCCACATGGGTATTTTATACATTTAACAAGTCCATATAATGTAGCATATCTCATATTACTCCTATGATTAGATTGATACATCAATGGCATTCTTTAATCTACTATGGTGTGATTCAGTTTTCTCCTTTCCTTTGAAATTTGTTTGTCTGAATTATATTTCAGGGTTTGCTGCAATGGAAATTGAAACTTTGAGATAATTAAAATTTCTTATATTGTCATTTATTATTTGTCAGTCAGCTTTCATCTAGTGTGTTGTGATTCTGTTGTTTTGCCTGCCAAAATTTCATATTCAAAGCTACTATTCAACAGGGTATGCTGTAAATGTAATGTTTTAAAGGCACACCTGCATTCTAAGAGCAAACAGCACCATCTTGTGGTTCTTATTAATTGCTATGTAGAGAAAAAGGTACACACATGAATTGATGGAGTACTAGATTTGCAGGACTTCTATCTTTATAGCTGCAGATAAAGCAAAGATCATGTAGATATACATACATACATATATATATGTATGTATATACTAGTTGTGTATGCATACTCGATAGGTGTGAAATCAAAACTGCACAAGTTATAAATTTTGATTTGAATTTAATCTAGAGAGTTACATGAGACACGAAATTGTAGACAGTCATGTGAGAGTATTTTGAAAAAAGAAAAATGTGTTACAAAGTGGACACCAACTAAGTGTAGGTTTTAGAAGTACAAATGCACATATGGATTGCAGGCTTTGCTGCCTCATGGGATCGATGAAGGAAGATCATCTTGGCTGGAACGCTCTCATATTTCTTATATGCCCTGTTGGATTTCTTGTGGATTTTTCATGCGCCCTTTGTTTGGACCATTTTGCTTTTCCCTTAGTTTTTTTTAATAAATTTCATATGGCAAATGTTTTCTTCTATTTTGTTACGACCTTGAAAACAATATGCTAGTGGTTTGTGGTAGGGGTGGCAGGCAGGGGTGGTGGTGGTCCAGGTGCCAGGGCGGAGTGAAGGTGGTGGTTTGATAGTGATAATGGTGATGGTGTGTTGTATGAATTTAATTTGAAAAATATTTTTTCACCTTAAAAAACATTTTATATGAAAATCAACTTAGTTTTCGCTGATCATGGAGAGCGTTTTCAGTTAACATTCATTTTTCATAGTGGCATAAAACAATCTGAGCGAATATGGATCTGTGACCCCTCCCTTATGGAAGACAATATACCCTAAACAAGAAAACGAAAATTCAAAAAAAAAAAAAAAAAAAAAAAAATACGCCTCATCCAACAATACAACAATCTACATATTGATAGCACCTCTCTTTATGCCTGTTCATGGCCACCAAAATCAACCATTACAAGAATATCATTTGCTGATCTTACTGCATTGAAGTCGTTCAAAGACAGAAATGAAGAACAGAACAGCTGAAGTGCATTATGCAATCCTAATGGCTATCGAAGTTGGTACTCTTCAATTGTGAAGTGGATTTGGTCCACTGGGAATCACTCTCTTCTCAATTCCAAACCTTGCACCACTCTTCTCCGCCAGCAAAGGTGGCAGTGGTGGTGGCGGTGACGGTGACGGTGATGGTGGTGGACTCCAGTGCTTGCTTTGAAGTTGCTGGAAACGAGGGCAGCAATGGTGGTTGTTAGGCGGCGATAGACGGTGGTGGATTGCAGAGGATTGAGCATTCGGTATGGCAATGAGGAAGAGGAAGAAGAATGCCAAAATCCAACTACTCCCGGAGACTGTCATTGGAGGAAGTGAAGTGTTCATATTGTCTGGAATTCAAAAACTTCAACTTAAGAGAGAATGATGGTGGTAGAGAACTAAATGCATAGCCAGTTATATAGATAAAAGGGTTGTTTGGGGTGTCGTAAGTGTACTTTTTGTCTTTTTAGACTAAAAAATTAAGGTTGAAAATATGGATGTTTGGGTTAACTTTTTGACTTTTTATGGAAAAATGTGTAATAAAAAATTATAAAAATTGATTTGTAGGGATTGATTTATAGGGAAAAATTCGAATTGGGAGTTGTGCAACCGTAATTGTTGACTTTTGGTGAATAGTGTTAACTTTTTAATTTTTTGAATAATTTTTTGACTTTTTAACTTTTTTATAAGTTCTCAAACTTGGCCAAAGTCTCCAAACACAGAAACCGATCATAAAATTGAAAATTTTGTGTTCAGTTGTGTGATCGGTTTTCTAAGTAGTTATTAAATGCTCTGTTTCTCAGTGAAGCTTTTTGATCTGTTTTCAAAAGTGGATAAAAGGGTGTTTTTGCTGTCAGGTGAATTTGCAAACCCTTTGTGGTGAGTTGGCATTCTACTTACTGACAATTATTCCACAAGAAGTGAGACTAATCTTCGAAAAAAATAAAAATAAAAGATAAAAACAATTACAAATAAAGAAATTGTTGTACCTATAGCCATAATTGTTGTATAGATGTAGCAACAGTTTTTGGTTGATATATTTTTACCAAGAGAGAAAGAAGGGTAAAGATTTTTATTTTATTTTAATTCTTTTTGGTGGTATTGAGTATGGTTGGTGTGGTGTACATTTGGTGCATTTAGTGAGGTGGGTTAGGTATGTTCCTCATTTAAGAATAAAAACAAAAACTAAAACAAATAAATATATAAAAGTGGCATAAAATTATTTGTTTTCATTTTTTTTTTCCTGTCTATTTTTCCTCAACTGATATTCCATAATCTTCTTTAAAAAAGGCGATAAGAAAATAACCAAACCAAGGATTCATTGTCATAAGAAATCCGAGCGGCTTTTTTACATGTTGGCTGTCGGCTTCCTAATACACAACCCCCCTCCTTAACCCGGACTTGGGACCAACGGAGTTGTTAACAACCCCGGCAGAGTTAAAAGGCGATAAGAAAACATGACACAAATTTTGTCTTTGAAAAAAGGCAAATGATAATATATTATTCTTCTTGTTTCTTTTGAAAATCTATAAGTATAACGGAAGTTATGTTCAAGAATAACATGTATCAACTTCACCTTAACAAGTGCCCTACCCTCATGTTAATTGAGGGTTGAAAAGAAGGGGTTTAAAAATAAAAATATATATACTTTTATGTAGTAAAACACCTTCTATTCTTGTAATTTTCTTTTAAGCTTGATTAAATTCAAATTGCGATGCATATTTGTATCAATCAATTTGTCGTACAAATAAAATTAATTACCCACACATTGTCTTATGATTATGACTTTGGAATAGTACCACTGGTATCAAGATTCAGTTCCATCCAAATTAATTTTCCTCTCTAGCGACCTGATTTTTCCTTATCTAATCCTTTAAGTCTGTTTGGCTATTGGCTTTTTGCCATGCCAAGAAAAAGAAAAAAGAAAATTCGAAGGAAACCCTTTCCCTTATTTGGTCATTGTGGAAAAATGGAGAGGGAGCTTTTACTTTCAAATATCACTTTTCCTTCTTAATATTTTTAAATTTAATTTAGTTTTAAATATGATAGAAAATGGATTTCTCTTTCATTTTCATTTCCCTCTCATTTTCAAGTAGTAAAATAATCCCAAATGCATCGCATATGCAACCATGGCGGCTAATTAGGTATGATGACAAGAAGAAGATGAAGAATAATGAGAGAGAAACAGCCAACAATCATGTACTATATTCAAATGATGAGAAAGAAGCAATTGTTGGTAAATTCATAATATGAAATCAATCTCATATTTTTGAATGTCTACAAAGTCAGGTACAATAACCAAAGAAGAAGAAAAAGGAGAGAAGGGAGGTAAGGAGGTCTAACAGCCCTGCACTCTTTCTACTTCCCAAGTAAGCGCCGTCCACGCTGATTGGCACCTTTCACCCGGTAATTCAGTTCCTCCACGTCATTATTCAGAGGATCCAAAGCTTTGTTTTGCCTGCAAAATCACAATTTGAACGCGAAGATTGAGAGAGAGAGCGAGAGTGAAATATGAAACAGAATGAAAGTTTAGAAATTATGTGATTAAATCAAAACAACTAACCTATCAATTTCAGATCCCATGTCAACGGCCATATACTTCAACTCATCCAACAGATTACTCAAATCCAAAAGTCCATCATCTTGCTTCGTCTTCTCTACCTGTAATGATTGCAAGTTGCCAACACAATAAATTAAAAATGTATTTTTAATTTTTTTCCCCACCCGACAAGGTATCAGGAGCTTGTCAGTTGAGATGCAATCACGATCTCACAAGGAAACTGAGATCATTCATTGAAATCCTACTATGATTTGTATGTTTTTATTGATGACAAGACAGATTTGCGATTACCAATAGGAATTAGACACCCAATCGGCATATACATATCGCAAACTAAATTGAGTTCAATATTGTATATATAACAACTAATTTAGTTCTATATGCCAACCAGAACATGCTGAAAATTTTCACTTCCTGCTGTGCTTAAACTAAAAACATCCCAACTTTTAATTGAATCAATATTATAGATACAGACCTCAACTTTCTGCAATGCATTGGTGGGTTCAGGAGGTGGTGTTCGTGTGCTTGACCGTCCTTTGGGTGCAGGAGTCAATCCCAATTTCTCACGCTGTTCCAAGTGGTTGCCCTTTCTTTGAGTTGGATCATCTGCAAAAATTGACAACTATATCAAGCTTGAACAAAGAATTGGTAGGCATGGTGATGACGTACGTTCATGGGATACTCATGGTAACTTTATAATTTTATTTGTGTCTTTAATATTTTATTTATATATTTTCATTTTTATTTTTAGTTAATTAGGATATTAAACACTAGGGTTTGCATTGTATTATTATAGCTTGGAAATATTATTGAGTGTTTTAAGGTTGTGACCATGTCTTAAGCTGTGGCCCTCTTCTCTTCTCACCTTCACTTTCTCTCTCTCCTCTCCTACTGCATACTGCATCACATGGTCAACCACCTCTATCTTGCACCCCACCCGAAACCAAGAAAAGGAAAAAGCAGTCCATCCTTTTCCCGGTCTTTGAAACAACGTATGTAATTAAATTTTTTGAGCATAAATGAACAAAATCAGATGAGCATATGATATGACGAATATAACCTCTTGTCATAACAGGCCCTTTTATTTGACGAGTCTTCTTTGGCTTCCAAGTCTTGGAGAAGATGCCCCCAAGATTTCCCAAAAGTTTCTCACCCTGAAATGAGACACTGAACAATGTAAGTTGTACAATAAATGATATAGTCCATGGGAGGTAATTCAGAACAGATAAGAAGAAAGAATAACATGAATTTTTAAAAAATAATCAAAATATGGAAAGAGAATATATCTTCAGATCAAGAAACAAGCATAATACTGACAAGTTTGAGAACATGTGAAAAGTGTTTAGAAACATGTAAAAAAGTTTGAGAATATGTGAAAAATGTATTGGGATTATAACAATTTTGACATTTTCTCCTCGTTAACAACGGCCCTTTCCTTAATTTATGATTTTTACAGTTCTGTGGACAGCACCAATGATATAAATGAGAAAATGGAAATATTAGGATGGTGTGGTTGATTTGCATGTGCACATTTTTGTTTGGAAGTACATAGTTGATAAGCTAGAGAGGTTAAATAAATTTGTAATCAGCACCACATCATCTCTCTCTCTCTCTCTCAAACAGGACCAAAAGGGAAAGATCCAACTCCAGAATGCATATGCATTTCAAACTAAAATTCAATAAGCATGCCTTGTAAGTTATAAATAACTAATTAAAAGAACTTTTAGAATCAGAAACAATGTGATGATCCGAAGACAGATATTAAAATACAAACTTGATATGCCATTTCAAAACTTGCTGAGGTCCAAAGCAATGAAAGCACTGGCACATCACATAATGTCAGATAGATTTTTGATAGAAATGGAAAGCAATATAATGAAACAAGTTGTTTATATTTTGAAACCCATCCAATATATATGATGACTTCCATACTTGTTTGGCTTCTAGATAAACCTGTATACTTCAGAAATTATAGCCAATAATATACTGATGAAGAGGCAAACATGCCATACCCTACTAAGATCAATCTCAATGTCTGCAGCAACCATGTGGGTCCTGGTAATTTGCTCACCCTGCTGATGCAAAGCAACCAAAGTCTTGGTAGCATCCTCTCTCATATCCTCTGCTATCTTCAAGCAGCTATTGACAGTCTTTGTAGTCTCTTCAGCCTTGTACACGGCATAATTCTCTAACTCTTGCACATTCTGGTTCTCTAATCCTCCAGAGTCACGGAAATCATTCTTGTACCTGTTTCTTGATGTCAAACCAAGAGAGTACGATGATGAAGAGTTTCGTTTTCCCTCATCATCATCAAATGGGTTGGTACTAAGATTAGGGGTAACTAGTGTAGGTTCAGAAGAAGTTCTCCGTGAGGGATTTAGGGTTTTCTTGCCGCCCAACGCATCATCAGAATCAAAAGGATTGGGAGTAGAATGGCCGGGGAACCCAGGGCCAACTGAATTTTGTTTAGCATTCTTGTTCAAGGGAGATTTCTTCAGGCCAAACATTTTTCAATGGGTAAAAATGCAGGACTCAATAAATCAATTGTTGTGTTGAAGAATCAGAACTAAAGTTAGGCAAAGGTAAAATGAAATTTATACAGAGGTTCCAATATGTGCCTGAGAAAACAAAAGAAGATAAAACTGTTATGCAGTGATAGTAACCAAAGGTAACAATAATCAAATGCAAAAAGGTTTAAAATAAGAATTTCTTTCATTTAAAGGGAACCATGTTTGGATGGCATGAATAGAGAGGTGGAACGGAAATCTCATTACAAGTCTCTTTCATTTTGTAGTTTGGGTGTGTTCAAGAATGGAAACGTAATTCCTAGTTTGGTTCCCAAGGCAGAATGAGATTACCACATTAGTGGGAATACTATACAAACATTCCCCCCCTGGGAATCTCACCTGTCTGGAGGAATGTGACTCATTTAAAAATGAAACAAATAGATGGATCTACACAATTTAAAATTATAACATATTCGAGTAGAGGATTTCTAACTAAGAAGCATGGACACGGACACGAACACACGACACGACACGGACACGCCGACACGCCAATTTTAAAAAATGCAGGATACGACACGTGGGGGACACACATGAAATATATAATTTAATATATTTATTATATGTTATATATATGAATATATCATTCAAAGATAATAAAAATACAATATGACACTAATTCCTATAAATTTATATTATTTTTGTTTTATTATTGTACCTTGAGTGGTTTTGTTCAAATTTATAATTAGTTTCACTCATGTCTAATGTGTATTTAAGCAATAGATACGTGTGTCCTTCAAATGTCCAAGGAGTGTCTGGATCTTTAAAAAAAATTAAAAACACATTTTGAAGAGTGTCAAATACGTGTTGGGGGTGTCTAGAGAGTGTCGGTGTCCGATGCGGATAAGTTACCTTCTTAGAAGTGTCCGTGCTTCTTAGATTTCTAACCAAACCAACCGCTTGAATTACATTGACACAAGAATATCATCACTAGTAATGTGATTCTTGGTAATAGAATTCCTATTCCTACTCATTGATTCCTGTCATCCAAAATAGCCTAAAAGACAGGTTGAAGTTATAGATGATCGCATAATTACTGCACTTAAACATCAAAACCGAAAAGTTCAAAAACAAAGAAGAAAAAACATGATGGGGATCCGACAAAATGGTTCAAAACAAAGCCCTAAACACAAAAAGTACAAACAGGAAAGATGATGTAATTTCATCAGGGTATCCAAATTCCCTGATAAAGGGCTATATAATTACCTAGATAGTGATTTAAAGTTAATGAACAACAGCTCCTATGCTTTTGTGCTTTTGGGGACAATTTTAACAAAAAGCAATTAAAGGAAATCAAAAGGCCAAAAATAATCATAATGTCATTCCATGGATCATATCCAACTAAAATAATAAAACCATATGAAATTTAGATGCCTGTATCTGTTTGATTCCAGAGAAAATAAAATACAATCGGAAAAAGAAGATGAAACCTTAAAATTTTCAAATACAACAAACACAACTATTTGGCTTAATTGATATGTATTCAAATCAAACATGTTGCAAACATGACGATTTTATAATTCTGTTTAATTTACTTATCCTGTATTTTCTCAGCAACCAAACATACCCATCTAAAAAAGAACATGAAACATATAATCACAAACCCATATAGAAAAGAGAAAATTGAAATTCAAACTTGAAGTTAGAAGACAAGTACACAAAAAAGATCAAATTCAGCAACCAAAACTTATCTAAATTCAATCTGATGAAGTGAAAATACAAGAGCAAATAAATTGAAGACAACATTGACCGAACGATGTTTACAAGAAGACTTAAAAAAACCGCAAATTTGAAATGACCCAGATGCAAAAGAAAAGAGGAATCGAGTTAAAATTCAAAACCCAGAAACAGAATCAAAAGATGAATCAGAAAATCTCAAAATAGAAGATAAAGAAGTACCTGAGACTCCGCAACAATCTTGGGGGTAGGTAACGCCGACCCAGATAGGCAGTCTAGAGAGAGAAAATATAGAGAGAAAGTAAGGGGGATTTTCCAAGTTCCAAATGGAGGAAGAAGTACAAAAACTAGTCGAGATTGAGAAGATCGAAACTGGTGAGATATTTCTAAACTGAAAATGAGACGGGTTTTGTCTATTTTCTTGTTCTTTTCTATATCTATATCTATATCTATATATATTAATCGATTTTCTCTATGCTTGAGCGAACACACACATTGAGAGATGAAAGAAATTGAAAGAAAGAGAAGCGCGTGAAGGGGTGGACTTTGAACTTTCTAACCCAACGCCCGACTTTGAGAGACTATAGACAAAATCAGACCGTTTCCTCTCTGCCAAACAGGATAGAATTGAATTGATCAAGGATTTGTTTGGCAAGTAGTTATTTTTTTAAAAAAGTTGATTTTTTTTTTAAAAAAGTAATAAAGTCTAAAAAAATTTAATTCATACAAAAACTTTAAAATTTTCTTTCTATTCATTCTATTTTTTATTTTTATTTTTTGTAAAAAAATAAAAAATTTCTTCTAAATATTTTATTTTTTTGGGACAATTACAATGCAAGAGTGTCAGAAAAAAATAATTACACATCAATGAAAAAATTTATAATTTTAATTATTAACATTTATAATGTTCATCATTATTTAATAATTAATTTTTCTAATTCTCACTGCAGTGTTATTTTTTCTAATTTTTTTACTTTATATTTTAATAAAAAAGTCATTAAAAATTTATTTTCCAAATAGAACCTAACAATGGGTTAGTTAATTTGGTCGATTTTGGTGATGTTTTATTTTGTTTATTTTTTAGCAAAAAAATATAAAAAACAAATTATTTATGTAAATGTTTTCTATTTTTTTTTAAACAATTCACTTTTTGAGAAATATTAAAAAAATACTTTTGAAAATTTTAAAAACTATTATCGCACCAAAATAAAAGCGAGAATGTTTTTAATTACGCAAAATGAAACGAAAATTTAGAAAACAACTTCATTATTTTCTAAGAAAATGGAGTTTTCAGAGAATTTTTTTTTTCAGAAAATAATTTTTGTCCATAAATTTTCTTAGTTTATGTTTTCTGTTTTTTTTTTTTTAATAACAAAAATTGAAAATGATACCCAATGCATTTTAAGGATAAAATGAACCCTTGGGATAAAAAAATTGTTAACGATTGTTACTTTTAGAAAGTTTTAAATTTAAATGAGTGCACAATAATTATAAATCTAAATGTCATAAAAAAATATGGGGACCTCTTCTGAGATTTTCAAAAATACAAGTAATCTCATAATTTTGATATAATTATATTAATATTTTTTATTAATGCTAAAAGAATTAGAACTAACAGAAATTATGTGAATGCATATACACTTCAGTATAAAAGAGATTAAAATATCAATTTTCATTCTTTTGACTAACCACTTATATATGAAAATGGATTAAGTGTTATGTGAATTATAATATTTAAAGAGTCCAAAGTAATAGAGAAATGCATCAGACCCCACTGGGGATGACCCCCAGAACCCTCAGTGGGATCTGATTGGTCAAATATATATATATATATTTTGCAGTCTTGCAAGCACAGCCCACGTGGAGTTGTGGGTGCTGGGGTCCCAGCATGGTTGAAAGTAATAATGTCAAATTTGTAGAGTTTATTATATTTTTCTCAAACTCAGGAAAAATTAGTGTAATTTATTCAAAAAAATATATAATTATTTTAGATTTTGTTAATAAATATCTCTAAACATTTAACAAGTTGTGTAGGTTAGCCGACTATGTTGAAGTCTTTACTATTTAATTTAATTGTACTGTCAAATTGTTAATTTTTGTAATTGATTTATGAGTAATTGTCCTTGTCGTTGCATTCATTTGTGATGATGATTGCTTGTATGGATGGTTTTGGATCAATTACCCAATCACAAACAAATAAGAGGAGAGAGTGGAAAAATATATATATATATATATACATATAATGATGGATCTAGGGAAGACGTGGGTGGCCGCACTCTTAAAAATTTTAAAAATATCATATATTATATTAAAAATTTTAAAATAATTTAAAATTATATGAATTCATATCTTCAATTTTTTTTTTAAATAATTTTAAAATTATATAAAATAACTCCTTAATTTTTTGACCTATAGAATAGTTCTCCAAAATCTCGATCTTGGATCCGGCTATATATATACGGAGAGAGCGAGAGCATTATGGATCGTGCATCGGAAAGAAAGTTGATTTTTTCTAGGGAAAAAAAACATTAGAATAAATTATATTTTTAATTTTTATAATTTCATTAGATTTTTGGTTTTTATTTGCCTATTTTGAAAAGATAATGTTAGAGATTTCAAAAATTCTACTAAAATTTTCATTAAATGTCTCACATAGGTGTAAGATCCACATCATGTGGGTCCCATGTGGGTTTCACACCCATGCAACACATTTGGTAAAAATTTTGATAGAACTTTTGAGATCTCTAGCATTTTTATTTTTGAAAGTAAATTAAAAGTTAATTTTTAATTTTTTTTAAAAAAAACATGTAAAAAAGTTGAAAGGTGATGTGACGAAAAAAAAATCAAAAAGCCAATGAATTGGCTTTTAATCTAATTGTCAAAAGATTGTTTCAATTTGAATCATTTACACTTTAAATTCAATTTTAATTTGATTATTCCGTCTAAATTTTTGATTATTTGTTTCATATGTACCCCTTATGAAGCTGACAGATATTACAAAATTATTGATTTTAGCCTTCAATCAGAATGAAAGAACTAATAATTAAAATTAGACTTAAATGTAAGGATTAAACTGTTCAATTCAAAATAATAAAAAGTGAAATTTGATCAAATTATAAAAATTAAAAATATAATTTATTCAAAAAAAAATGTAATGATAATAATTAGATTCCTAACGTCACAAAAAAAAATTTGTTTTTTATTTTGTAAATAATATTTTAGTACTTTCAACAACCATCTAGAGGGTTTTGACAAAGTGAAGAGTTCAATTTACTTATTGAACAATTTTTCTTTATACGTTAGTGGAATTAGTTAAGGCTTGTATTGGATTGGATGAGATGGAATATTAGAATAATTAAAAGTTGACAAATAGGCAAGTAAAAATGATTCTAACAATTCCAAAACAAAAAAATAAAATAAATTTTTACGAGTACATGTAATTCTATTCTCAGTTAAATTTTTTTAAAAGAAAGCTACTATTTGCAATTACTTTTTTTTTCTTCTCAATTCTCATTATTTTATTCAATTGTATATCAATTATTGAATAAAAACTAATTATTTAAATACCAACTATTGAATAAATAAATGTGATTGTTTCGATATCAACTGAATTAGATTTATTTTGGGAATTGACATAAGAACCATGATTTTTTGTTTGGTAGTTGATATCTAAACAAAAAAATTGTATGAATTGAGAAGTTTAGTAATCAAAAACTCTTTTAATTAATAGGAGAGTTTCTATTTTCACACCACAATTCTTCTTAATTCATACAAATTTTCAATTTATTTTAATTATGATTGTGTCCTTCAAACAAATTACTATTAAGGACAAAAAGTAGATATATTTCCTCCCAACCTCACTTTCCAACTATTACCCTCTATCATTGCAAAACCCTAGCGGTTACCACCGGCTACTACCAAAGCCCCTACAATTGTGACTAACAGGTCAGGCTTACTTGACTTGTAATTATTGAATGAATAAAGCTTCCGACCCCCAGTGGGGTGCTGGGAGTCGTGCGTGTCGAGCCGGGATTGGCCAAAAAAAAAGTTGTTTTTTTTTTTTCTTTTGTTTTCAGCGAAAGGCATGCTGCCACGTCACTGGGGGTCTGACCCCCACTGGGGGTCTGAAGCAAGGTTCTTATTGAATTCATGTCCCATATATTAATGAATTTTTTGAGTTTTGACTAGTCAATAGACTAGTACAGGCCGAGCTTATTTGAAAAAATTAAAACCACGTCTCACCCGTAAGTCCAAATCTTACAGGCCAAAATCAAACTGAACTAGGTTATATATTTTTTACTAGACTTATATTATTAAGTTCTGGACATTTATTTTTTCTTTTTAAATAATTTATGTGATCAAATTAATTAATATTATTAAAACAATCAAATTGAAGTATAAATCCACTAAATTAGCAAATTATGACAATATTATATGTAAAAAGTTGAGAGTTGGGAAGATATCACAGGTTATTGTCAAATTCAATTTTAACAAATTGTGTTTTGTGTTTTTATTTTTTATTTTTTAAATTATTTTTCAGGGGATTTTTTTTAAGGTCCTTGGTATTACGATTTCATAGTATAAAGGACATCTAATATTTTCATAATGTTTAAGGTCCCTCACACATTGATCCAAAGAAATTTCAATCCAAAGAAATTCTCTGAACTTTCCAGAGAAATTCTTCCCAAATTTCTCTGGAGAGTTCTCCAGAGAAATTTGTAAGAAATTCTTTCCAAATTTCTCTGGACTTTCTTTGGATTTTCCTTGCCCATTTTATTGTCAATAAGCAATATTTTGATAAATTTTGAAAACTAAAACCTGCTTTTGCACTTGCCAAGCTTAACATGTAAGTATAGAATTGAATGGCTCATTTCGGTATGACAGAGGTAGCTACTAATGATAATCAACCACATATAAAAAGACAAATGTATATGTAAAAAGATTAGATATGGAAAAGCCTTGGGTTAGTTAGAAACATGTTCTTTGCATTGAACTCTATTAAGGGACATTTAATTATGATGCCTTAAATATATTACTGCCGCACACTATTCACCAGTAATAGTTTCTGCTACTATTTTAAGATCATCTCATCCAGAGAAATTCTCTCTATGGACTTCCAACTCTCCAGAGAAATTTGGAAAGAATTTCTCTGGACTTTGTCTGGATTTCCTATTCTCCAGAGAAATTCTCTCCAAATTTCTCTAGACTTCTCATTCTCCAGAGAAAATTCACAAGGCTTCATTATTATTCAGATCTCTACACTATTTTCTCTAGTTTACAAATCTCTTCAAGCTTACTCTTTTCCCACAATTCATCTATGTATGATATCTCTACCACACTGCCTTTGATGAATGCAGCGATGGTCTGAGTGGTGGTTTCAAACTAGAGAAAATTGAAATTTCTTTGAGTCAAATTTTTGCAACCTACAACTCAAAAACTAGTACCCATTGTGAAGGTAAATACCAACATTATGACAATCTAATTTACAATCTTTTAAAAATGACTCACAACTAATACTGATCCTACTTCAATAACAAAATTCTAACTTCCATCACTCAACAAAATGCACTTGAAAATTTCTCTTTTGTCTC